TTTATTCATTGGTGTATTTAATCCATAATAGGGTTACGAGGTAATAAATGTATGTCTTTCATTTTAAAACATAAAGGAGTTCTTAGGCTGTTTTTACAAGTTATATGCTGCTTTGTTTTTTTTAACAGCTATTAGTTATAACATTTTATAATCTATTTGTTATTGTATTCTGTTAGTGAGCGGATGGAAAAATGAATGCTCTGTGTGTTAAAGAAAGAGTGCTGTTGGTGTACCGTATTGAGACAACACTCCTTTCGTGTCTTGAAGGTAATGTTCTTGTCAAATCTAGAACATTCGGAGCAGTTTCTATATTCGTCGGCACAACAGTTCAGCTGCATGTAACACAGTTGTGAATTACCATCCGTTGTATTTTACCAATGCATAGCCTAGAAACTCTGTAAACTGTTTGTGTACAATCTATTGTAATAGGCCTTACTCAGAGTAATGACATAACAACAGTTATATCCAGTGGTTATGTACAGTGGGTCTGACTCTGCCCAGGTAAAATAAAACAATCAATTAACACCGTCATGTTTCATACATAGCTTAGCTGAAGCATGCCCTATCAACATGTTTCATTCGAAAGTTTACAGCATCATTTCATATTATGTCAGTCTGTCACAAATCAAAGAAAGCGATGGTTTATGTAATCTATTTTCTTTAGCAGCGTTTTTAGACTTAATAGCGGAGGCCTAATTAACCCTCCGACGCAGAAAGCCCATTTACTAACACGCTTACAGTAAGGGGTCCCTCCGGGGACCCAGATATTTAGCGGCTTGGTTTGAGGCTACACAACACTGTATCTATATGTACACAATCTCGACATGTCTGTAGACTATAAATAAGGAGGTCATTGACAGGAAACAGATGTTGTATACATAGTCTGTGGTCAAGTCGTGCACTGGCTACCCGAAAGTGACTTTGTTTTGTGCACATGTATATGGGCAGCCCAGGTTGTCAGGCTCAGATATGCCTGACCCGGGGTCACACACTAAAGGTGACTGCATATATCCGTAGAGGGTGTCGCTGGCTAGGATTAGATGGAAGATCACCAGAATTGGTTTGAATTTTTTTTTTTTATTAGGTAATTAACCAAATTGGGTCCTCAAAAGGGCTAGTTTCTGCGTCGGAGTGTTAAATCAAGATATATATTTTTTGGCTTCCTGAATTTGTATTTACGAAATGGTGACAGTTTAAAGTATAGTTTTGTATCATTTGAAATATTAATTGGCGTTTCACTTTGTGAAATATTGTACAAAGAAACGCGGAACACGCAAAATCTGAGACAAACAAAACTTAACGTCCAAAATTCCATAGGGTTGTCTAATGGGCGTGGCTAACTCGCAATCGGCGATAGGTCAATTATGAGTACCGTATTTTGTTATTCTGTAATTTCAATTGGTTTATGTATTCAACTAGACAATTTACATATTCACAAGAACACTGGACTGCTTCGGCTAGTCCTAACTAACTTATGACTGACATGGACATATAGTTTCTTCAGTGAGGGTGACAATGAGGCAGTCAGAAAACGGTTGCACTGCCACAGTGAAATTTAAAGAGTGAAATTACAAACTGCTTATATACAGTGCAATTCGTAAATACCTGAGACAGTTTACCCATTCTTATTGGTCAAAAGCCCGTCACGTGGGTGGTTTTAAGCCCCTAATCCTAACCTAACCAAGGAAATTAAACAAATTGAATTTTTTTTACATAAAGGCAAACTTCTGGGTGTAAACGAGAGAGGTGATTGAACCAAAATCGTTGTGAAATGCTTGTCACAAAAGACACCATTCCATAAGTATAAATTGTTTGTTCAGTATAGTCTTGTCTGCTTTAGAGTTGTAATCAAGTCAATCTCAAGTCGAACATAAGTCAAACATTAGTCAAATCATAAGTGAAAACGCAAGTCAGGCCAATAAACAATGACAAAGGAACACCTCTGTCACTATACATTAGAATAGGTTGTTACTTGACTAGGGACTGGATGGCTTGTGATTGACTTGTGGTGAACTGTGATGGACTCAATTACAACTCTGGTCCAATTTTACATGCATTGAATTTCACTAAATTTACATACATGTACAGTACATGCATGTACAGTATTAGAAGCGACTGAATTTTGGGCTTGTGGTATTGTTTCAGTGTAGAAAAGTGAAAATAAAATGACATTTTGTTGAGGTTTAGACAGAAATGTGCATGCAGTTTTATTTAAGATTTTCTGACATGACTATCAAAATTCCCTTTTAAATACATTACATGTAGTGCTCTGTCCTTTGACTTAAAATTGTCAGCATGCTCCGTCACAACAAGCTACACATACTAAAATGCATGCTTACTTTGTATGTATATATTTAAGCATCCCCAAATACACACCGCAACTGATTTATATGTATGTATCTATAATAATCCCCAAATGAACACCACAACTGAAATATAATTAACATGTATAATTTGTTTTTTAATTTCCCCAACTCTGCCCAAATTAACAGAAATCTCGTGTTTTTGAAGAAGAAAAAAAGTCATTTAAGCCTGAAGTTTTATTATTATTGTATCTATTTCAAACCTAAATGTTGATAAATGCAAAATACACGTACATGTATTTTGAAGGATTATTGTGACAAATTGTGCTTTGGAATTCATCGCAGTAGATGGCATAATTGAAGAATACTAGAGACCCATGCAACTTTTACTGGACTTATTTTTTTTTTTAAATCACTTCATGGCGAAGCACCTCACTACAACTCCTCCACCATACAAGCCAAGCTGATCATGACTTACCTATGGAATCATTGGTGTGTACTTCACGGGGACATATATCTTTCCAGTCATCGGGAGCAAAGCTGTGGAATAGGTTGCCATTGTCTGTGATAGAATTGCTTCAACAACTTCTTCCTTTAAATCGGCCCTGAAGACCTTTCTCGTTTTCAGATGCAACTTCAACATAAATTGTGAACTTGAATTTATAATGCGCTGCATAAGTGCTGGTTATAAGGTTGGACGTTCAAAAGCAAGCGCCATGAGTGCCCATGTGGCAGATACCAGCGCTTAACCAGTCTTCGTTATTCATTCACTCATACGCCTGATTTTGTGCCAAACTTCTGGAAAGACCACCCTTTTGAATGTTAGATTGTAAATGTTTTATGACACAAACACAAATTAAGACGTTTAAATTTCCAGATTCAAGATTTATTGAAGTTATACTGTTTGCTACACTTTTAAACTAACTACTTTGTGGCTAATGAATAAAGAAATATGTAGTGACATGGTAATATACACTGGGATAAAAGTGTTTTGTGATGCGTGGAATGATGTACATTCGTTGGGCGCAGGGCCTTCCACAACCGTAAACTTCGTAGTGTATATAGGGTACCTGTCTTCTCTTTAGGCCGACTGTGTTTCACTGAGATGTGTACGATTGCAAGCATACCAATTAATAATTGCCATAGAAACAAACGATAATATTCAGTGCGCTGTCCTTCAAAAATCAGGGGCAAAACCCCTCCAAAACAAAAAGAAAACTTGCACAATTTAGGACAAAAAGAGTAGTTTGGAACACAATTGATAATTTAATTCATGTCTTGAATATTTTGTTCAAATTTGTAGGTGCCATGATCAATCGGATCAAAATTACCGTTGAGTTTCATTTGTAAGGCTTAGCAAGGTGAAACTAAAGCTATGATGCCTAATATCTCCTAACGTATCCACTTCTTTCTTTTTTTGTCAAAACCGAAAGAAAAACCGCGAAAATTGTATTGATTTGCAGAAAACCTTCAAACCAATATGACAGTTAAAGTGTTAGTGTGCAGTCAAAAAATATATATATTTATTTGGCAACAGCATGCAACTTACTGCAAAGGATAAACAATAAATTAAATGAGCAAATGGGTTTCCTCCCCGACGGATTATTGAAAAGAATTAAAATTACGACTTTACCTATAAATATTTATATCACTGTGTTTATTACTATTGGCATTATGTACACAGGGAGGTATGGCATAAATACGGTCAAACATAATTAGTATATACATGTACAATTATGAAAGCAAACCGTTCGTTTGCACGAACTGAAAAATGTCGGAGCTGGAAAAAAATATCACCTTTCTTTTCAAGAAAATTACACCCACTACACTCTAACAACAACATTGGTAACGTGTCCAACCAATCGATTGGTTTGACATTAACTAATTAATGGTTATTTCAACCAATGATTGGTTATGTTAACCAATCTTTTTTTAGACTGATGGTTGTTTAATTTTTTTTTTTTTTAAATTAATTAAAGACAAACGACCCCTTACACATTTCTGCTTTTAAAAACAGAAAGATACAACAACAAAAATATATAAATGGGTAGATTTTTTCCCATGAGAAATTCCCCACGGGTCTGGACACTTGTGTCCCTCGTAAGCTGATCGCTCGCCCTGCAAACATGACGCTGTGAAAGACTGATGAATTTCAACTCGATCTAATTGGACAGATTTTGCGGGACCTGTGTCCTGCAAGCCAGAGGGGGGCCTGCAAGGTTGTAAAGGGCCATTAACCCTAAAAGGGCCGGGGCGGAATCCACCCCCAACTTTACCCGCTATAGCCTTGAAAACACTCCCTTTTTTTCGAAACCCGAGCTGTTATGACTTTTTTATATCCATTTTATTTTAAGTACATGAAGTATGATTTATTTTATTTTTTCGAAAAACAATCAATTTTTTTTCCTGTTTTTGGCACCTGCAACACTCCGATATTTTTTTTTATTTTTTTTGGCCTTGCGGGCTAATAGATACGCCCAGGCACTGTGAATATACTGGTTTAATTCCTGATCGCCAGTAATAATAGGGGCCGGGCACCAGTCTACCCCTCGATAACTTATAAATTAGAGGGTACGTTATTTGAAAGTGGTAATTAATCACTTCATAACTGAATGTATAGGACTGTTCTTTCTTTTGTTTCGTTCGAAGTCACATACAAATAAGGGGAATACCTTTTGTATTTCTGTTATGATCATCCATGAATGATTCACCGATTATTGATGGTTGGCCAGCGGTCATCTGGCACCAATCTTGTCCACAGTAGATGAAGCCCCAGTATCATCACCACACCCAGAGTAGCAGACGCACCGCCAAGGTAGAAACATCCACTGTAACTGTCAGTAACATCGTATAGATAACCTGCATTCGATTGTTTCAAAGCCCGAACAAAGAAGAAATACGGAAGCATGTTTAGCAAAACATACACATCGCACTGAGGACGCCCCCTTATTTATTATTGCAAAGCTAAACTTCACACAAAGCAAGACAAGTCTTGTAAAGATGCTCCCAAAGAGCACATAATTGGCCTATCGAGGTAGAATCGCATCAACGCGGCTTGTGAAATATTGTCCAATGACATGATACACAAATGGACGCGGAACGCGCACACACATACTGGAAAGATTGATTTGTTACACTGACATACTGGAATGTGTATCCTTGTGGAGACATTTCTTTGTTCTCGTGTAGTAAAGTTTTCGAGTTTGAAAGTGTAGTTTCAAAATGCTCTTATTTTAACCATAATTAATTTCCTTGGCTGAAATTTGGACTTAATGTCCCTTTTCTAAAACTCTTCCATTTGCGACGAATCAACATACCTTGGAAATTCCTAGTTTTTGAGTAAAGTCCATAAGACTATTTCGTGATAACCTTGTGGAGACGTATACAATATTTTGTTCCCTATTGTGTGCATGTCTCCAGAGGGCACGGTGTATCAGATCGGTACCCTGTGGAGACATGGGTATAATAGGGATCCGAGCAAAAGATGGAATACGTCTCCACAGGGCAATTTCTATAGATGAATACGTCTGCACAAAGTTATCACGAAATAGATACATGGGTTTTGCACAAAAACTAGGAATTTCTCTATTGTTTTTCAACAATAAATACGTCAGTGACTTTTTGGATAGCTGCAAATGATGGACTGTAGCTGTAATATAGCTCTATGCCCACATACCACTCGGCGTTCGGCCTCGTGGTATGTGGGACACAAACGCACCACATTGTTCCATATTACACTCGCGCTCGCGAGATAACTAATATTGTATTTTGATCTTACCGCCAACAGATGAAAAGATAATGTAGCCGATTGCCACCACAGCAAACATGATACCAATTCCTCCTGGAAACCTTTCTTGTCCGACGATTCGACGCATCATGACCCCGAACACGGGGACGTACACACCTGACGCAAAGCCATACAGCGCGGCGCAGACTACAAAACCACCGTAGCTCTCGTTAACGGCAATGACAATTTCAGAGACGATCACAATGGCCTCAATGGGCACCAAGATAAAAGTCAGTTCAATCACATTGGCATCGACCAGGGGACCGTACGTCCAGCTACCGATGACGTTGGCCATTCCGATGACAGATAACAGCGACGTGGCTCGCAGCGTGGGGACGCCGACCGACCCCGCACGCGCAGCGAGGAAGGGCAAGGTGATGCCATTTCCTGCCGACATGGGTGATAGTGCGAGAAGAAATACTGAGAAGACCCGATTGGTCCAGATGAGTGACACACCAGCGCGATCCAAGATTCGCATGATTTTCCTGAACCACGTTTTCTCTTGAGCCACTTCCGTTTCTTCACCATCAGCATCGGTGCTCGCCATGGTTCTATAGCCACGGCTGAATCTGAAACGTTTCAGAGATAAACGGGCAGTACGATCATCGTCATCATCCCCTTCGTAATCATCCCCTCTGGCTCCCGAATCAAGACTTGGCGGATCGGTCAGGCTGATGTAACCTGCCCCACTTGCTACTTCCCTCCCGGTCAGTCTTGTCTGAGTGTGACCAAATGGTTTCATAAACTTCGCACACACAAAGATGTTTGCCTGTGTCGCACTTAAGATGAGCAGAGCCCCTCTCCACCCAAACTGCTCGATCAGAAAGCCACCGAAGACAGGAAAGGTCACCATTCCCACACCAGTTCCTGACATCACGATTCCAAAAGCCAGAGCAAAATGTAGGTGGAAACAGTCGCCAATTATTGTCAGGACGCTTGTGTAGCACATACTGCAACCAATTCCTAAAGAGATTACAAAGGTTACCAAACAGTAATGTGGTTCTGTAGACTCATCAACAGTCCATTCGGATTTTCTTAAATAATGTGGTATCAAAAGCAGGCGACCAAAAACATCGCAACGGTTCAGTTAAGGAGAATACACGAGAAAGTGTGGATTCGTAATTTAAGAATTCACGAGGCGCGAAGCGCCGAGTGAATTCGTAAATTAAGAATCCACACTTGCGAGTGTATTCTTCGACTTAAATCATTGCGTCAACAGAAGTATTGGAAAGAATGCTGCAACCTGACGACACTATTTTCTTCATATATCATCTCAATGAAGGCCATTTGTTGCAGAAATGATGATAAGACATGAATCTGGGACTGATAAATGTTTCCAAAATTGTCAGGAAATACTTTAAATGACTCTCCATAGACGTTGTACACAGCGCGGAAGTGGCGTCAGGTTGCAACGTTGTTTCCCGGCGTGTTTTATCGACACACCCGTACAAGTAATTTTGTGTGTATAGGCTCCTTACGTCAAAATGGATAGTTCAGACGACGATTTCTTTCTGACTAAAAGTAGATTTTGCAGTCACGGCAGAAAATCTGACAGTGAAGATGCATTGGTAATTTTCGGAAAGCAAATTTTCACACAGACGGTCCTATTCATGCTCATTATGGAGAACAATAATTGTCCGACATGTTCAAAGTGTGGATTCGTAATTCCGAATCAACACTTTACTACAGATTCGTCGTTCCGAATCCACACTTTGTGACCAGTATAAGAGATTCGTAGATCCGAATCCACACTTTTAACAATAGTGTGACGTCATAGCAATGGTTTAAAGTCAAATTTCCAACTGAATAAATCTCTCAGTGCCCACAGAAAAATGAATTTTTGTTTTTGTGTTCATGGTAAGGAAAGTAGTTGCAATTGGTTGGAGATAACATGAAAAGGCAAGCCTATGGCAGAGTTGGCCCCGAGCCCACACAGTTCTATTCGATTGGTTCAGAATGGCTATTCACTGGAAGTCTTTCACACATCCAGTCAACAAGATGGGCCGGATTTGCCTATGCATTGGCGTTACTAGATAAGTGCCAAGATCTCTTTACCAGTGTACTACCAATTTTAACCACAAGTGACAGCCATTCGGGGAGTCAGTCAGTCAGTCAGTAAATGTATCGAATAATTCGACGCCGGGTTAATGTTCCCAGGATCGACAATCTCACGTATGAGCGAGCGTAGTTATTATTTTGTTCAATCATTCATTGAGTTATGGCGTACGAATGTTACCTTTTAATGGCGAATTAGAGGTTTCCTTATTTCTATTTTTGGACTAAATGTTAAATTTGCACGCCATAGTTTTGTTTACACTTCAGTGACAGCGCACCACTTCAATTCATAATGGACCTTTATTATGATGCCACCATTTCAGTCAAGTTCCCTGTATCCAATAACAGTACTGAATGATAATTGTTTTTGTACAAAAAGTAACCAGACTATTTTTCCTTCCAGCCTCGCTTTGGTTACGTTGATTTGAATGGGGAAAACTAACGATGGCCGCAACATGACAATGGTCTATTACCTGTCATAAATGGTATGGTGATGCACATCACGTAGAATTCCCAAGCAAATGATGCGCCCACAAGTCCTATTAACGAAAGTCCGGCTCCGGCCACGACTACGCGCCGAATCCCGAAGTATTTGCCCAGTGCTGCGGCAACGGATGCTGATGGTGGAAATAGACAAAAATCGAAGAACAAATATCAGGACTATCGAAGGCATATAGGAGAGTTTGCATTTATCTCAAAAGTAACATACCAAATGATCACCAAAAAGCTTTACTTGGATTAAAGATCGTACTGGTGCTGAGCACCCCGTCTGTGATGGCTTGCTGTCGTTTAGAAGAAATCAAGAAGTGTAGGTGATTTACAACGATCAGTCCATTGGCTTGTTTTGGGAAATAGAGAGTGCTATATATAGACGAAATCGTGTACCGTGATCAATAGATTGTGACATGGTTTTTCATGCATTGTTTTCCCGAGCTGAAATTTCAACAGGTCAGGTTCTGAACATTCTTTTGGGGGTTCTTTGGAAACAAACAAAATGCATGAAAAGCAAATGCTCCCATACCTTAATATTTCACACTCAATTTGTTTTTTTATAAAATGGGCAAAATATGATTCGTGCAACTTACAAAAGCCTAAAACCATCGCCAATGTGGAAGACGACAGCCAGCCCACCAGCGCGGAACTCTGCGGGAACTCGTGCAACCATTCTAGGTAGAAGATACCCATAGAGCTACCCAGTCCTGTTGTCAAGCTGACGGTGAGAAAGCCGGCCAGTACAACGGGCCAATGGCGGGCTTCCGAGTCCGACGAAAACATCGTGCTGCATGTCAATACAATACATCAGCTTCAGCCGTTTTGACGATTTATTTTGCTAAAGGTATTACGAAAACCAAGCAAGCACTCAAAAACAAAACTGCCAACAATAATTTGATGAAACATCCTGCTACATTGTAAGTATGTAATAGGATCAAGCATCCTGCAAAATCAGGAAACGTAGTATGCTGTCATTTTCAGATCAGGAGGATACGATTGGAAGGTTTGCATGGTTAAGATAGCATTAAGATAAAGATTTACGGTCAGTGGCGTAAATCTGTGCCGTTATTGTTTTCCCCACCTGACAAATTCGGTATCATAACGCAAGAGAGTACTAAACGTATTCAGACCCCAGTGAACGTGTTTTTTTAACGGCAACCTTCCTTTCATCGATAAAAATGGAGATGCATGTTCGCCATTTTCTCAAAAAAAGCTGACATTCAACAGGATACTCTGCTTCAGATTAACTGCTTCAGATTTAACCTAGAGTTGTTTTTCAATCGGCAAAAGACATTTTTTTTAAATGGTGTCCAACACCTACTGTATGGTGTACTGAACAAATCGGAGTTTTGGGTTAACGGTTATTTGTAATAATTTTAAACTTGTTTATTTAACGGAAAACTTTATTTTTCTGTTTCAGGCGTCTGCAACGCTCAGTAAAAGTGCTGCAAACATATCCGCTGAGCGAGCAATATCGACTGGTTCAATCTCTACATTATCGATGCTGATAGGGACGGAAACCATTCTATCTTTTTAGGATCTTTATAGCATGTAGCTCACGTTCACAAACTATTCCAAATGGATCGAAAAATTACTCAATAGCTAAGATTTTTTCCGTGCATTAGCCTCATTTCAGAATTAAATATTTCTTAATGCTATAAGAAAAAAATAGCAAGTTCAAAAGGAAATCATTTATTTTCGGGGTGAAATCCGAAAATAGAATTCAGTACATTTATATATTTTTGCTGTCTATGCCTGCATTTGCATAAAATAATGACGCCCAAATTTTTTCCGAGTGCATTATGGGTTATTCCATAAATTAGGGTATACCAGCTCGCGACATTTTGACCAAAAATGAAAAATTGATTGACAGGGGATTCAATAATAAGTTTCAGTCTAACTTAAAGATATTGACATTCCTCATTAATTGTAGCCAAAATCAAACATTATTTACTCTAGAAATGCCAAAATACCATACCAAAACTCATTCACGGTTTCACGTGTCCCTTTATATGCCTACGCAAGCCGTGAACTATTTAGGATACCCACACTGTGGTTTTTCATCTGTTGCTAAACAAGATAATTTAGGTACAAGTACTATAATTTGAGCAACTAAAATCAGTTGTAGGCCTACGGTTTATTTTTCACAATTGGAAATAGTAAGAAGACAAATATCACAATGTAAAAAGGGACACCACAATTCATTGGGCCCCACATTTTATGGAACCAACCCTTTATTTGTATGCCTTACACAAAGAACGGATGTTGGAACAGATTTGACCGAAAAATCAGTTAAAGGTTCACACTCTCATCTGATAACTGTCTTTTATTGAAGCTGAGTCCGAAGAATGAAAATGGAGCGGATTTTCCGGCTGATTACTTGTGCCTAAAAACGACATTTAAGTATACGACATACTGGTGCCGTAAACTGCATGAGGCACTTAGCCGCATCGTCTCGTATTATACCATCAATGAAACTACCCTGATAGCCAAAACAAATGAAGGCATAAGAAGAAGTGGCCCTAATTAATCGATGCAAAAAAATGAACACCCCCAAAATAGCAACAGTTAAAAAGAGGTAAAATATAAGAAACGAACCTTAATTTAGATCGGCTAAGGACTGGTGCTGATGCATCTTCTTCCATAGAGGTATAAAATATCACGCGCACTGTAACGTCATGCATTACTCATTTATGCATAGTTTATCATCATGCATAGTAATCACGGTTACAAAACTGAACATAAATTAGTCTGGATTGGAAATAATGATATGGATTTGAATATGTATGAGGATGGCACGGTGTTATGTTGGTACATGACATTCAGACGCTCGATCATTATGGTTATGGGTTGTCTGATTCATTCGTAAAACCACGGCGGATTACCGGTACGGTACACATATATTTGCATTTCCAAGGTCGTGCAACTTGACATTTGCCCAAAGACAAGGGCCTTGTTCATCAAAAATGCATAATCTGAATAATGCCAATTTTATACGTGACGTGTCAAGCTGGACAACATTTTTTTTAAATGCTGTAGTGGCAATATTAAGTGAACATGTTTGTTTTGACACAACACTAATACAGACATGTGTGTTTAGGCCAAAAAAAAAAGTCTCCGGTTTCTGGTATGGAGCTTGTCCAAAAAGTGGTGCGGCAACGCGGCTTTTTTTTTTTTTACCCGACTTTTTTGCTTCTAATGTCGGCTGATGACTGCAAATGGTGCCCGACTAAACTTAGTGCAATATATGGGAGTCCAGAGAGGCCACATAAAGCTTATTCTCGATCATAACCCCATCTAAAAACACGTTGAAATTGCGCAGCAGCAGAATTCCAGTCAAACCAGTGAGTTTGGCGGTTTTGAGACATCATCTTTCATTGAAAAAAAAAAATTCATTTTGCCGACGCGCA